TTCCCATTTTAGGGCAGCACACGAAATTATAGTTTTCAGTATAAATTTGTACCTCAGTTTAGAAGCAGTCTCCTTAAATGTAATCCTGTTTTGGAGAGTTGACCACTCACTGTGGATTTTGTTTTCTGAAACTGGCCACAGTGATATTTCCTATGTGCTCTTCCAGAATCTTGCCAATCTCCATCAAGAGGCAGAGTTATTTCCCCTTCCTCCTGAACCTACATTGGACTTTGTGACTATCTCAACCAATAAAATGAGGTTGAAATAATGCTGCACAGCTTCAGAGGCAAGGTCATAAAAGGTGGTACGGTTTCTGCCTGGTTCTTATTCTCTTGTGACACCTGCCCTTGGAACTCTGCCCACCATGCTGTGAGAAGGGCTAAACCAGCATACATGGAAAGGTCACATGGGGAGCCATCCCTAGACAATCACTAGAATCAACTGGCTGAGCCAGACAGTGTGAACAAGGCTTTAAAACCTAAGTTTAGATACTTCCAGTGCTTGAAGCTTTTCAGTTCAGGTATTGCGGAGCCATCTCCTGGGCCCTGACCAAATTCTTGGCTACAGAATCTGTGAGCAGAATAAATGGTGGTTTTACTCAGAAAGTTTCTAGGGTGTTTCTATTTTGTTACACAGCTGCTATCATTTGAATGTGTCCTCCGAACTTCATGTGTTGGAAACTTAATCCCCAAATTCCTATGTTGATGGCATTTGGACGTGGGGCCTTTGGGACGTAATTAGGATTAGGTAAGGCCGTCAGGGTGAGGCCCCATAATGGGACAGATGGCTTTATAAGAAGAGCAGAGACCTGAGCTGATACGCTTGTGCCCTCTCGCCATGTGGTGTCCTCTGTCATGCTATAATGCTGTAAGAAGCCCTCCCCAGATGAGGCCCCATATGCTGGACTTCCCAGCCTCCGGAACTGTAAGAAATAATTTTCTTCTCTTCATAAATTACCCAGTCTGTGGTATTCTATTATAGCAACAGAAAACAGACTAAGACAACAGCCACAATAACTAAAACAGCCTCTATACGTTTACTTTTCTTCTTTTGAAAAATATATGCATATGACAAAAATTTAAAATACAGAAGTCCAAAAGGGTATTTACAGTGAAAAGTTTCTTTTGAAAAAGTAATATATGCATATGACAAAAATTTAAAATACAGAAGTCCAAAAGGGTATTTACAGTGAAAAGAGCATATACCTATGACTTAGTTCTTACATATCCTCCTCATATATACTTCTGTAAGTGTGTGTGTATCTAAAACACAGATGGCAGTGAACTGTAGACACTGTTCTGCGCCTTGCCTTTTCCACTTACTTTATGTTGGAGATCATTCCTTATCAGCACATTTAGTTCAATCCTCATTCCTCTTAAATGGTTGGGTTATATGGACACAACATAATTTATACTGGTCTGTTACTGGACGCTTGTATATTTCCAATCTTTTGCTTCTACAAATAATGCTTCAATGACTACCACTATACATATGTTTACACGTGTGTATGATTTTTTCTGTATGATACATTTTTAGAACTTGAATTGTTGGATCATAATTTTGATACATAATCACCAAATTGCCCTTCTACCAACATATGAGAGGTTCCTTCCTGTTTTTCTATACTTTTGCCAATAGTATATTATCAATTTCATGCTTTTTTCCAATGTGACAGGTTAAAAAAAAAAAAGGACATGTCATTATATTTTTAAATTGTACTTCCTTTTTTATAAGTGAGACTGAGCCAGTTTTCAAGTTTAAAAGCCATTTGCATTTCCTTTCCATGACATGGCTGTTCCTGTTTTTTTTGACTATTTTTCCACTGGGTTGTTGACATTTTTCTTACTGTCCTGTAAGAGGTCTGATAATGCACACCGCCACACCTCCCTGATGCTAGCAGATGATTGGCACAAGGACTGCTGCAAAACAGCGGATTGTTATTACTTGTCTCTCTTCCCCATTCACCTTAGTTCAAGTAGTTTTTATAGTGTGTTCTACATCCTGTTCAAGACATCAATTTGGAAGAAACAAAGCTTTTATATATATATTTTTAAAAATAAAATATATTTTATATTATAAATATATTTTATATAATTATAATAAAATTAAAAACATATATAAATATATATTTATATATATATATTTAATATATTATATATATATATTTATATATATATATTTTATATATATATATGTGCTCTTTGATAATGCTCAGTGTTACCTTTCAAAACCCCAAACACGTTGAATCTTAAAATACATTTTCATTAGTACTTTAAAACTATTTGTCCTAACTTTAGAGAAAATTAGTATACTGAGTAGACAGCTTACCGCATTCATTTTGTACTGATATCTTGAGCCTACAGGGATGTGACCATGTGACTAAAAAGTTAATCAGCTTAAGACAGTAGTGATACTGACTTAAGACTTACAGCAAATGAACAAAAAGAATCTCTAATTTTTTAAAACACCCCAATGCTTTCTGACCAGAGTTATGAATCTACAGGCACAAGCAGACCACTCACTAAAACCTGAGTCCGTCTAGGGCCGTGTGACTGACAGTGAGGCCCACGAGTCCACAGTTTGCATCACCTGGGAACTTGCTAGAAAGGCAAATTCTCAGGCTCCATACCAGACCAAATGAATCAAAATCTCTGGGGTAAGAACCAAGAATGTGTGTTCATCAAGCTTTATAGTCAATTCTTTTGTCTATTAGAGTTTGAGAGGCACCCCTATAGGGCCTAGATACTTGGGGGCTGAAGAAAGGCCCCACATGGAGGCCTTTAAGAACCTGTACTGCCTCAGCCTAGTGGGCAAGTCTTCCTGCTTGCTGGAGACGATCTCTGGCAGCAGGATGGAAAGTACTTGGGGAGGCTCCCAGAAGCCAGACAGAGTGTTCCATACGTGGTGTCCAGGAAGGGCCCTTCTGAACAGAGAGAAGACAAGAGAGGAGGGCACAGGGTTTCCCTTTCCACGAGGGGAGAACACAGGTGGAGGGTGGGAGGGCAGTAACAGTAATAGAGATTTTAAGATCCTTTTTTCCAGTGGCCCCCTCATCTCGGTAGGCGCCTTCACTTTTGAGAATGTAAATGGGGCTGGGCAGGCGTCATGTCAGAGGTGAGAATGTTTAGTGGTGGCATCTTGGGACTTTATACAATCCCTTCTAAATTATCCAGCCCCATCAGGATGAGGAAAAAAGGCAGGGAATTCAGGTCAGGAATACCATCATTGCTTAAAAAAAAAAAAAAAAAAAAAAAAAACATTTGGCTGCAGTATCTCATGTTTTAGTGTCTCTTAGGAAGCTAGTAAGAACAAGGTAAAGTAAGCAATTCCTAACATGTAACTGAGCATTCAGGGATGATAAAAATCAACACAAATTAAAACTTTATTTGAAAGTCTCACAGACTCTCTAGACAAAATGCAGCCAAGTTAAAGCAAACTGACCTAATGTTAACATGATGTGGTGGTAAGGAAAGTCACATTTTACCTTGTCAACATTCGCTCGTGTTTTAGCAGATGTTTCCACATAGTTAACATTCCACTGGTCGGCTCTGTTTTTTGCCTCTTCTACTGAAACCTGCCTTTTATCTTCTAAATCTGATTTGTTACCAACCAGTAGAAATGGGACATTCTCATCTTCTTTTACTCTTAAAATCTGCTCCCTAGATAAGAGAAAATGAGAAAGAAATATTAATATTACGTCTCCATGTTTAAATAACAAATTGACATCTACAATCAGCCTTCATTTATGATTATATATGTTTCTGTACAGTGATCAGCTCACTCACTACATGGCAGAACATAACAGTATTCTTCTTTATTCTACCATCAACTGCTGGAGTTACACATTCACTTCACTAATGAAGGAAAAAGACACCAGAGCAAAGAGCACAAGCAAGACAGCAGAGATACAAAATGAGAGTCAAGTTCAACTCTGAAAAATAAACTTGTTTTAGAATAGTTCTAGATTTTCAGAAAAGCTGTGAAAATAGTACAGAGGTCCCATATACCCCAGTATGGGTAAAACAAAACACCAACTGTTTTTCCTACAGTCTCTTACTTGGCAACAATCAACACACATCAACACAGAAGACGTGCTTCTGACTTCTGTGACCAAGTGTGTGGGATTTCTCCCCACTGGCCAGCAAGCCAACAGTATCTCAGCTGATGCCAGCTGGGCGCCCTCCAATTCAATTTGGACACTGTCTACCTGAAGATAGGGTCAGGTTGCACAGGTTTAGAGCTCAGTCCCCAAGACTGCCCCCACTTAGATACAGTCGCAAGTCCAGGTCTCTGGAACATTCTGACCAATGAGCTATAAATCAGGATTCCCATAACCCCCTCCTTGGGTTCAATTTGTTTGCTTGAGCAGCTCACAGAACTCAGGGACACATGTTCTTACATTTACCAGATTCTTATAAAGGATATTACAGAGGATGCAGATGAAGAGATGCGTAGGGTGAGGAGTGGGGAAGGGACACAGAGCTTCCATGCCTTCCCCGGGCACCACCCTCCGGGAATCCCTGTGTGTTCAGCTGTCCCGAAGCTCCCTGAACCCTCTGCTCTGGGGTTTTTATGGAAGCGTCATTGCATAGGCATGATTGACTAAATCATTGGCCACTGGTGACCAACTCAACCTTCAGTCCCTCCCCCCTCCCCGGAAGTTGGTTGGTAGAAATTGGTTTTTCCTGAAGCTACCAAGGGGCAAGCCAGGTATCATTAGCATATGAAGAGACTCTGGAGATACTAAGGATTTTAGGAGTTGTATGCTAAAAGATGGGAATAAAGACCAAATATATATTTTCACAATATCAAAATCCCATTCCCAGTTTCCCCTATTATTAACATCTTATATCAGTGCGGTACATGTTTCACAATTAATAGACCAATATCGATACAATGACCAATCTTTATTCATGTATTCTTAGTTTTTATGTAACATCCTTTTTCTGTTCTGGGATCCCGTCCAGGATACTGCATGAGTACATGTTTCACAATTAATAGACCAATATCGATACAATAATATTAACTAATGACCAATCTTTATTCATCTATTCTTAGTTTTTATGTAACATCCTTTTTCTGTTCTGGGATCCCGTCCAGGATACTGCATGACATTTAGTCTCATCATGCCTCCTTAGATTCCACTTGGCTGTGATGATTCTCAGACTTCCTTGTTTTTGATAACCTTGATAGTTTTCAGGAGTGCTGGTCAGGCAGTTTTTCTCATGATTAAAGTGGGGTTATGGGTTTTTACCTATCACAGAGGTAGATCTATTCTTATCACATTGGATTCAGCATCTCATGAAACGTTTTTAAAATCCTGCACATGCCAGAAATTACTGGATGTCAGCACTTGAGCACAGAGTTTGCACTCAGAGATAAGTTACACACTGTGAAAGTGTCACCAAGGTTTAATATGCCATGGCTCTGAGCTTCCTAGTTATGTGACTGAGCAAAGTACTTCTCTGCCTTAGTTTCCTCATCTAAATAAAATGGGGCTAACAACAATACCTTCCTTATGTGCCATGAGGATTAAAGGTAAAGTGTTTATAACTGTGCATGGATAGTGAACATTTAGTAATTATTAGCTGTTCTTATGATTATTATGTTTTCTTATAAAATCAACAGACAAAAGGAAATCTGTGAGACTTAGGTTTACTATCTTGCTATCTTACAGATGACTCTCCTTTGAAATTATTAAGAAATGTTGAAACTACCGGAACATAAGTATTTTAGAATAAGAGAAAATGAGAAAATTAAAGGGATTATTAGAATGGCAGATGAAAAAAGTACACTTGATTCTGCAGGCATCCTGTAGTGGACACTTGAGACACAGTAAAGAGCTTCCTTGAGGCTTCTTTTCACATGAGCTTGTTCTGTGCTTCTCAGATGGTGTGTCCTGAACACACACACCACTCTCTCTACTACCACTACCAGTTTACTGAGCGCTCACAACGTGAGCTGTTTTAGGGTTTACATACATTATCGCATCTAATCCTCACCCCAAGCCTAAGAAGTTAGTACTATTACTATTCTTATCCTACTGACAAGGAAACTAAGGCACAGAGAAACTATGTCAGCTTGCTCAGAGTCACAATGAAGTAGAACCAGCACTTGAATCTGAGGAACTCCAGAGTACACACGTAGCTTCTACGCTAGGTACCTCAGGGGCTCCCCTAATGCGATATCTAAGGGAATGAACCCTGCTCAAGAAAGTTTAGTTCCCAACAGCTCTTCACCACAAGAGATCCCTACCTCTGATATGGAATGAACCAAGGTGTCCGGCATTATGGAGAAGTTCTCCAAGTTATATGATATTTCCCCTGCATTGCAAAGCTACAGACTGGTAGACGGGAAACTTGTTTATTACATATAGTGATCAGATCAAACCAGCAGGACAACATGAGATTACAGAAAGGTAGAAGGAAAGTGCTGATCATATAAAAACAATTTTACCTTTCCAAAAAAATGTATTAAATTAAGTGTGTTAAGGCTTCCAGTTAAAGGAGCATGGCCAGTCCCCTGGGAAGTGTTTGGAGCACAGGCAATGGGGGAGACAGGCCCACAGGGAGAACACTGGGGCACAGCAAGGACAGCTGATCTGCAGGCCAATCAGCACAGGACCACTCAGGGGAGACTGGTCAGGAATATAGAATTGCATGGGGTGTAGGGCATGCAGTCAGGCCCAGGTAGAGTTACTATACAACCCAGGTGCACCAGATCTCACCAGATCCAGAAGTACCTATAAAGTCAACCATTAAAACCTGAGCACCACAAATAGACCACCCAAGGGAATCAGCAGCAAAGCAGCAATTTAGCTCAACCACAGAGCTCAAGTACTGGTCCCCATAGGAAATTCCCCCATTCTAGAAGTAAGCAAAGGACAACAAATTAGTTGCAGCACAGAACTTAATTGGTGGGAACAGCAAATAATCCAACACAGAACTGAAAGAAAAAACAAAGTACCCACAACCAGAGACAAAATTTGATAGTAACTAGTAAAGGTCTCATGTCAACAAAGAACATCTATAACACCTAGAAGGACTGGAAGTACCCTGGGCTACCAAGCCAGAAAGGGGGGAGGGCTGGGGGCCTCAGCCATGGCCCCCGACACCTGCAACCAGTCCCAAGGGTGGGGGCTCAGGGCCTTGTCCACACCCCGCCAACATGTGCAACTACCCCAGCAATAATCACCCCAGTGATGACTACTGAGCCACTGCAGGAAGTGCCCCAGGCTCTCCTGAGCCGGGGTGGTGGGGGGCCTCGGCCCACCTGCAACCAGTCCCAAGGGTGGGGGCTCAGGGCCTTGTCCACACCCCGCCAACATGTGCAACTACCCCAGCAATAATCACCCCAGTGATGACCACTGAGCCACTGCAGGAAGTGCCCCAGGCTCTCCTGAGCCGGGGTGGTGGGGGGCCTCGGCCACACCCCCCCACACCCACAGCCAGCCCAGCGATGACCACTGAGCTGCCATAGGAAGTGCCCCAGGCTCTCCTGAGCCGGGGTGGTGGGGGGCCTCGGCCACACCCCCCCACACCCACAGCCAGCCCAGCGATGACCACTGAGCTGCCATAGGAAGTGCCCCGGGATATCCTGAGCTGGGGCAGTGAGGGACCTCAGGCTTCAGTCATGCCTTGCCCCCCAACACGAGCAACCAGCCCAGCGATGACCACCGAGCTGCCACAGGAAGTGCCCCAGGCTCTCCTGAGCCAGGGGTAGTGGGGTGCTGAAGGCCTTGGCCACGCCCTCCTGACACACGCAACCAGCCCAGCAACGACCACCAAGCCACAGCAAGAAGGGCCCCAGGTTGCCAAGCTGGGTTGGTGGGAGATGAGGGCTTTTGCTCCACCCCCCTGACATCTGCACCCAGCCCGGCAATAACCAAGCCACTGCTGGAAGCCCCCAGGTCTCCCTTGTGGGAATGTGGGGGGTGCCACTGGCCTTGATCACACCCACCCCCTTCCTCTCCTCCCATCCTATATCCCTCCTTGTTCCCCTCTCCCTCTCCCCTGCAATTGCTCTGCGAGAACGTCTTAGAATGAGGTATGGAGCCAGGGGAAACCAAACCCAGCCACAACTAGGCAAGTTGCTGCTACTTTCCTGGGCTTCCACCAGGGTCCTGTGGCATTGAGCTGTGAGAGGCTGAATCCAGCCTTAACTAGACAAGCTGCTGCTGCTGCTGCCCCAGGGCCCCATTGGGGTCCTGAGGCCTGGAGCTGAGGGAAGCCAAACCCAGCTGCAACCAGCTAAAGAGCACACCAAAAACACAATTTTCATGCAGGTAGCCCACCACAGCCACCACAATTGCCATGGCTGCTACAAAACTGGCTAGTCTCCACGGCAGCAGTCAGTCACCATGTAGATGGTACGACAGACTCTCAACTTTACTGACACAAGGAGAGGCACCAGTGGAGACCAAAAAAAAAAGAAAAGGTCCTCTCTGTCTACAAAGCACACTCCAGAGTAACAGAAGCAGCATCTGATTTACTATAATAGGGAGGACTTGATCACATCTGTCTCAGCACTGGACAGATCATCTAGACAACAAACCAACAGAGGAACAGTTAATCTATCAGATGAAGAGGACAAATCTACGGTTATTAGATGGGGGGAAGGGCAGGGAAGAAATTGGATAAGGGGAACAAAGAGTAAGTATGATCTGTAACAATAATAAAAAATAAATTAGTTGTTTCAGTTGAAGGCTAGAATACTAACAAAATATG